GCGCTTCGTAGCCCCAGAGGGAGCTCCACCGAAGGCCCCAGTGGGGGTGTCCACATGCGGTTCCCCCACCCAGGGCAGCGTTTCGTAGCCCCAGAGGGAGCTCCACCGAAGGCCCCAGTGGGGGTGTCCGCATGCGGTTCCCCCACCCAGGGCAGCGTTTCGCAGCCCCAGAGGGAGCTCCACCGAAGGCCCCACAGGGGGTGTCCACATGCGGTTCCCCCACCCAGGGCAGCGTTTCGTAGCCCCAGAGGGAGCTCCACCGAAGGCCCCAGAGGGGGTGTCCACATGCGGTTCCCCCTCCCAGGGCAGCGTTTCGTAGCCCCAGAGGGAGCTCCACCGAAGGCCCCAGTGGGGGTGTCCACATGCGGTTCCTCCACCCAGGGCAGCGTTTCGTAGCCCCAGAGGGAGCTCCACCGAAGGCCCCAGTGGGGGTGTCCACATGCGGTTCCCCCACCCAGGGCAGCGTTTCGTAGCCCCAGAGGGAGCTCCACCGTAGGCCCCAGTGGGGGTGTCCACATGCGGTTCCCCCACCCAGGGCAGCGTTTCGTAGCCCCATAGGGAACTCCACCACAGGCCCCAGTGGGGGTGTCCACATGCGGTTACCCCACCCAGCGCAGCGTTTCGTGGCCCCATAGGGAGCTCCACCGAAGGCCCCAGTGGGGGTGTCCACATGCGGTTCCCCCACCCAGGGCAGCGTTTCGTGGCCCCATAGGGAGCTCCACCGAAGGCCCCAGTGGGGGTGTCCACATGCGGTTCCCCCCCCCAGGGCAGCGTTTCGTGGCCCCATAGGGAGCTCCACCGAAGGCCCCAGTGGGGGTGTCCACATGCGGTTCCCCCACCCAGGGCAGCGTTTCGTGGCCCCATAGGGAGCTCCACCGAAGGCCCCAGGGGGGGTGTTCGCATGCGGTTCCCCCACCCAGGGCAGCGTTTCGTAGCCCCATAGGGAGCTCCACCGAAGGCCCCAGTGGGGGTGTTCGCATGCGGTTCCCCCACCCAGGGCAGCGTTTCTTGGCCCCATAGGGAGCTCCACCGAAGGCCCCAGTGGGGGTGTTCGCATGCGGTTCCCCCACCCAGGGCAGCGTTTCGTAGCCCCATAGGGAGCTCCACAGAAGGCCCCAGTGGGGGTGTCCGCATGCGGTTCCCCCACCCAGGGCAGCGTTTCGTAGCCCCAGAGGGAGCTCCACCGAAGGCCCCAGTGGGGGTGTCCGCATGCGGTTCCCCCACCCAGGGCAGCGTTTCGTAGCCCCAGAGGGAGCTCCACCGAAGGCCCCAGAGGGGGTGTCCACATGCGGTTCCCCCACCCAGGGCAGCGTTTCGTAGCCCCAGAGGGAGCTCCACCGAAGGCCCCAGTGGGGGTGTCCACATGCGGTTCACCCACCCAGGGCAGCGTTTCGTAGCCCCAGAGGGAGCTCCACCGAAGGCCCCAGTGGGGGTGTCCACATGCGGTTCCCCCACCCAGGGCAGCGTTTCGTAGCCCCAGAGGGAGCTCCACCGAGGGCCCCAGTGGGGGTGTCCACATGCGGTTCCCCCACCCAGGGCAGCGTTTCGTAGCCCCAGAGGGAGCTCCACCGAAGGCCCCAGTGGGGGTGTCCACATGCGGTTCCCCCACCCAGGGCAGCGTTTCGTAGCCCCAGAGGGAACTCCACCGAAGGCCCCAGTGGGGGTGCCCGCATGCGGTTCCCCCACCCAGGGCAGCGTTTCGTGGCCCTACAGGGAGCTCCACCGAAGGCCCCAGTGGGGCTGCCTGCATGCGGTTCCCCCACCCAGGGCAGCGTTTCGTAGCCCCATAGGGAGCACCACCGAAGGCCCCAGTGGGGGTGTTCGCATGCGTCCCCACTACCCAGAGGTAGCGCCGCCGAAAACGATATTCACATTTGCGGTATTCACAGTTGCATATGGTTGGGTCCTTCGCCAGGCTAATGTTTTTATGTTGAAATGCTTGCAAACACACGGTGTTCGGTAGGATTCTGACATGAACGCGCGAGTGTGCTCTTTGTGGTTTTTTTTGCACCGGATTCGCGGCCTGGGTGCATGACAGAGCATCGCGAGTGCACCGCGCGATGACGTGAAATCGCTGGATTGTACAGAATTCTTAAGATTCCTATGGTTTTCCTATGATTTCAGCAAGAGAGCCCGGGCGGGAAATTTGTCAAATTTTTGTGAACAAGCATTGGGTTTTTGATGTTTTCATGTTGAAATGCTTGCAAACACACGGTGTTCGGTAGGATTCTGACATGAACGCGCGCGTGTGTTTTTTGTGGTGTTTTTTGCAATGGATTATCGCCGTGGACGACAGGACGTCCATGTCGAGAGGAAAAAATAAGAAAATGTTGATTTTGTATTGTTTTTTACAGGTTAGGATGGGACCACCCGGATGCGCCCGCTATCTGCCGGCCTGAGGGGGGAGTAGGAGTATATTCTAATAAGGAATAAGGGATAGGAGTAGGAGTAGGAGTCAAGCTAGCCAGCTCGAGCGAGTCAAGCATGGCATGCCAGTCCCACCCGCCCTCCCACAACATAAGAAGCAAAGCTGGCACAACTGGGGGCCGAAGTCACACCGGCCAGCCGGTTTGGTACAGCTGATGCGGCCGCGATTGCGGTTGCCCACGGGAACTGGCGAGCGCGTGTTGAATGCCACCCATCAGCAATCTTTCCGTATGCCTCTTCTAAGTAAATATCCGCGCACGATTGCCAGACGAACTGTGTATTGTCTTTTGCAGATTAGAATGGGACGGTTTGGATGGGCGGGCGCGGGGTGTGCGCCGCGTCCCATTCCTGCCATGCATTTTGCGACGTGGACGACAGGACGTCATGCGACGGTGCCAATGACGGCGACGACTCTAGAAGGATTTGAGCATGCGCTCGCGGCGACGCGCGCGCATGTCGCCCGCGTGGTATTTTTTGCACAGGATTCGCGGCCTGGGTGCATGACAGAGCATCGCGAGTGCACCGCGCGATGACGTGAAATCGTTGGATTTGACAGAATTCTTAAGATTCCTATGGTTTTCCTATGATTTCGGCAAGAGAGCCCGGGCAGGAAATTTGTAGAATTTTTGTGAAAAAGCATTGGGTTTTTGATGTTTGTATGTTGAAATGCTTGCAAACACACGGTGTTCGGTAGGATTCTGACATGAACGCAGTAGTAGTAGTAGTAGTAGTAGTAGTAGTAGTAGTAGTTGTAGTAGTAGTAGTAGTAGTAGTAGGAGTAGTAGTAGGAGTAGTAGTAGGAGTAGTAGAAGTAGACATACAAGTGGACGTAGACGAAGTAGTAGTAGTAGTAGTAGTAGTAGTAGTAGTAGTAGTAGTAGTAGTAGTAGAAGTAGCAGTAGTAGTAGTAGGGTACTATAATGATGAGTAGTAGTAGTAGTAGTAGTAGTAGTAGTAGTAGTAGTAGTCGTCGTTAGTGATCGTAGTGATGTAGTAGTAGTAGTAGTAGTAGTAGTAGTAGTAGTAGTAGTAGTAGTAGTCGTCGTAGTACGTCGTAGTATCCGTTAGGTAGTCGTAGTAGCCGTAGTAGTCGTAGTCTAGCGTAGGCGTAGGCGAGTCGTAGTAGTAGTAGTAGTAGTAGTAGTAGTAGTAGTAGTAGTAGCAGTAGTAGTAGTAGTAGTAGTAGTAGTAGTAGTAGTAGGTAGTAGGTAGTAGGTAGTAGGTAGTAGGTAGTAGTTAGTAGTTAGTAGTTAGTAGTTAGTAGTTAGTAGTTAGTAGTTAGTAGTTAGTAGTAGTAGTAGTAGTAGTAGTAGTAGTAGTAGTAGTAGTAGTAGTAGTAGTAGTAGTAGTAGTAGTAGTAGTAGTAGTAGTAGTAGTAGTAGTAGTTGTAGTAGTAGTAGTAGTAGTAGTAGTAGCAGCAGCAGCAGCAGCAGCAGCAGCAGCAGGAGTAGTAGTAGTAGTAGTAGTAGTAGTAGTAGTAGTAGTAGTCGTAGTAGTCGTAGTAGTCGTAGTAGTCGTAGTAGTAGTAGTAGTAGTAGTAGTAGTAGTAGTAGTAGTAGTAGTAGGGGTAGGAGTAGGAGTAGGAGTAGGAGTAGGAATAGGAGTAGGAGGAGGAGGAGCAGGAGGAGGAGGAGGCGTAGGAGTAGTGGTCAAGCTAGCCAGCTCGAGCGAGTCAAGCATGGCATGCCCAGTCCCACCCGCCCTCCCACAACATAAGAAGCAAAGCTGGCACAACTGGGGGCCGAAGTCACACCGGCCAGCCGGGTTGGTACAGCTGATGCGGCCGCGATGGCGGTTGCCGACGGGAACTGGCGAGCGCGTGTTGAATGCCGCGCACGCATTGCCAGACGAGTCGAGAATGGCCCGGTACACCGCAGGAAGCCAGAGGTGGCCGGAGGAAACCCGACGGTATGACAGGACACCCCAAAGCATTTTTGTGAAAAAGCATTGGGTTTTTGATGTTTTTATGTTGAAATGCTTGCAAAAACACGGTATTCGGTAGGATTCTGACATGAACGCGCGAGTGTGCTCTTTGTAGTGTTTTTTGCACAGGATTCGCGGCCTGGGTGCATGACAGAGCATCGCGGGTGCACCGCGCGATGACGTGAAATCGCTGGATTTGACAGAATTCTTAAGATTCCTATGGTTTTCCTATGATTTCAGCAAGAGAGCCCGGGCGGGAAATTTGTACAATTTTTTGTGAAAAAGCATTGGGTTTTTGATGTTCTTATGTTGAAATGCTTGCAAACACACGGTGTTCGGTAGGATTCTGACATGAACGCGCGCGTGTGCTTTTTGTGGTGTTTGTTGCAATGGATTATCGCCGTGGACGACAGGACGTCCATGTCGAGAGGAAAGAATAAGAAACATGTTGATTTCGTATTGTTTTTTACAGGTTAGGATGGGACCACCCGGATGCGCCCGCTATCTGCCGGCCTGAGGGGGGAGTAGGAGTATATTTTAATAAGGAATAAGGATTAATATAGTAGTAGTAGTAGTAGTAGTAGTAGTAGTAGTAGTAGTAGTAGTAGTAGTAGTAGTAGTAGTAGTAGTAGTAGTAGTATTAGTAGTAG